CCGCTGAAAGTCGCACAAGCATGTTGTCAACAGCTTCGACAATGATGCCCTCCACACTGCATGCCACTACTGAATTGGCGCTTTACTTGCTTTTGCTGACCTGACCTGGGATTTCTTCAGTACTGTACTTTGCACCGTCATGCTTGGAAGTCAGTGGATATCAATGACACTCGACACAGCCTACCGTGGACGTGCCATGCACACGAATGTTAAGTAATGCTGAATTTGAGGTGAATCAGACCCTGCACCAAAGTGCTAACAACACCCTGTGATCGCAGGTAAGGGGCGTCAGTGGAGTGTTCGTGATTGACAGAACGAACAAACACGTTATTATTACGTGGATACTGTGTGTGGAGGAATATTGTCGTACAAAACTCCTTGTATTGGGTGAGGCAGAATTGAAGTCTCGGACGAAAACGTTTCTGAGTACAGATTTCAAAACCGCGTATTAACACCGAAGCAGGTAGCAGAGGCAATCCCATGACTTAATCAACGTCGCGGGTTTTGTGACGAGGAAATTGTTAGCGCATTATGAGTTGCCCATCCTTAAGGCTGCAGCCAGGTGCAGCACATTCCATTGAAAACCCAAGTACCGATAATCACGTTCGCATAACTTGCATTGCATTGTCAGAAGAGAGACTACCTTCCGCGCACATACCGAGGTTGATGGCTGAGACAAAGAGGTTTCATCTGCTCGAAAACACAAGTTTGCCTGTAGCGTAGCACAATCACTCAATCTGATGCTTGTACACTTTCCGCAGAAATGCGGACGTTTAGCTCCACAATTCTCTAAAATCTCACTTGTCTACTAAATAATTAATAAAGTAGTTAAAAGCGTTGGGGTCAAATGCAATTATGGTCACCTTCTAAATATCAAATTGTTTCGTGGGAGACATGTGACACTGAAGCACATTTGAACCTTCAATCCATCATCGATGTCAGCCGAACATAGCGATTCACCTGATCTCATGTTTTCACTCACTATTTACCAAGATGCGCGGAGAAGCTGTGTTTGACGCGAAGGCATTTTTGTGGAATAAAAGCAGGTCACGAAAGACCCCCAACCGCGCAAGATTATCTCTCACCTGCCAACAAATCAGACAGCATTTACTATGGCCTGTTCGTCAATCACATGCACAAATGCGGTTTTCAAGCCGAAAGACGTGAAAGGCCGCTGAAGATGGGCATGTGGCTATATGATGGATTTCACGAAGATCACCTCCCTCCTCTGCAGTCGGCCAGTTTTGGGGAAGGCAGCAAGACACGTGAAAAGGTCATGAATGAACAGACACACCAGTTGGAATAATCGCACAACACAGTCCAAGCACATACAGGTGGGTGCGCTTGGGAAAATGTGACTAGTTTGCAGGTGGGGGTCGGAATTTTCAAGAATGTGATACAGTCATCAAGCAAATCGCCTGATCACACACTCTGCTGGATGTTATCACTAACTCACCTGGTGGAGTGTCATTCAGGAGGTGATCGATTCCAAACGCCTGGGCCTTGGATAATTGTGGGGTCGTAGTTGGTGGATGCGTGTCGTGTCCAGAAATGGAGGTGGTACCTGAGGATTCCAGATCTCTGTGTGAAGGGGAGGTGGACAGGGCAAATGGAAAATCGCACTTGAGCATCGACTCCCACGACGATGAGAAGTCGAGCGGTGCCGCAGGCACTAGTGGTGTGAATGACAAGGACCCTGGATGAGGAGGGTTGCATGGACGCTGATTGCACCAGTCGAGCATGTGAAGTGGAGCATTGAGGTAGGTGGGAGTGAAATGCGGCGAGGGAGTAAACGGGTGGGTCTGGTTGGGTGGTGGTTTGTCGAAGTTGGGTGAAGCGGGTGCAGAGGTGGGCGGGATGTCGCTTCGGTGCTGATGTGCAATTTGGTCTTGAAGCATCAAGGCGACTTGTCGACGAAGCGTTGAATTTCTCGGACCACGTTCATGCTGGACGGCTAAAAGCAGAATAACGCCCTCACTGTGTGACCGCCCAAATAACCACTAATGCTGAAAACAAACAAATCTGTCATTTGCCAAAGTGGGAAATTGTGGACTCGTA